TCGCTCGTTGAAACCTCTGCTTCCGGTTCGACACCCGCCTTTTTCGGAAGCTGGCCAACAGAATCCCCCACCTCACCCCCTCGCCTAGTGTCTGTCGCCAACCTTCCCGACAGGTGCTGCCCTCTAGTAGCTATCGTTCGGCTCCGAGCGACCCGTCGGTAGTTCTTCGGGTTGCTTCGGTGACCGAGCCACCGAGCCAGCCGCAGTCCGGCTCGCCCGGCTCGACGCACAACCGAGTCGGGCGAGCCGAGCTCGGCAGAAGCCTTCGTTTTCGGTCGTTCGGACAGGCAGTGTTCGCTTGTTTGAGCTCTCTATCGGACAGCCCGTGTCCGCTCATCTGAGACCTCTACCCCCGGACCGGGGTTTTGTTCCCTTCGTTTTCCTCGTCGGTCCTGCCTCGCTCTGTCCCTCTCGCACTCATGGGGCGTCCTGTACGGGTGCGAGAGAGACAGAGAGAGGAAGACGACCCTTGGCATCAGTCTGTCGGTCGCTGCTTGGAATCTCGATTTCACGCTGCGGGGATGCGGCGCGACTGCGCTGCTCTTGTCTCGGGTGAGGTGATGGCTAGGTTGGGTTAGTTTTTTTTCCTTTTCTTCTTCTTCTTTTCTCCTTTTCTTTCCTTCGTCCCCGTCCACGCAGTCACAGAGGCAAGCGACGCGGCCGCCGCCCGCCGAGTCGAGGCTAGGCCACCCGGTGCACGCGGCAGGGCGGCGGGCGGGCATCGCGCTGCCGTCGGGCGCTTCGAGTCCAAGAACCGCCGAGGACCGCCGAGGACGCCGTCCACGCCGTCCTTGCTGACTGCTCTCCCTCTCCCCAGTCCCCGCGGCGTTTCGTCGCTCTCACGAGGCGTGCCGTATACGCGCGTTCGAGAGAGAGAGAGAGAGAGAGAGAGAGAGAGAGAGAGAGAAAAGAGAGAGAGAGAGAGAGCTGAGATGGCCGTCAAAACGACCGGCTGGCGATAAGGCCGCCAAGTGCGCATCATATCGACTGGCAATAGCGCCGTTTTGTTTGGGCCGTGCCGCCGTGCCGTGCAGTGCAGTGCCGTGCCGCCAGGGATGCCAAGGCGTGCCAAGGTCGTGCAAAGTCCTCGGGGCCGCGGCTTGGCCGCCTGGTCGTTTCCAATTTCCCGGCTCTTCCAGGCCGGGGCCATGCCGGGGCCATGCCGGGGCCATGGGACACGCGGTACACTTCCATGTATTGCTCCTCTGCCTTTGTGACACGCGTGTCGTGTCGCAGCCTCGGCGTCAGCAGCGCGTCAGCCTTGGCTCGATGTCAGCGACTGCGTCGGTCTGAGTGCGTCAGCGCCTCAGCCCGCGTGTCAGCTTCAATAACAGTCACTATTCACTGTGTCAGCACAGCAGCCTCGGTGTCAGCCGGCAGAGTTATTGCCCCTGGTCCTGTGGATGGCCGGCCGCGCTGGACGAGGGCTGCGAGCAGCGGGCAGATTCCAAAGTGCTTCGTCTCTCTCTCTGTCTCTCTCGCACTCGTGGGGCGCACCGCAGGGGCGCTCGACACACACACAGAGAGAGAGAGAGAGAGAGAGAGAGGGAGAGAGAGAGAGGAGGGGAGAGAGAGAGAGAGAGAGAGAGAGAGAGAGAGAGAGGAGGAGAGAGGGGGGGGAGCACTATTCGGAGTCAGCCTGCTGGGAGGACTCGTGACAGAAGCGCGCCATAAATCGAGCAGCAAACCGCCGCGCCGGGCCACTGCCTTGTCTGCCTCGTCCACGCCGTCCACGCCGTCCACGGCGGCTTCAAGTCGGGAAGGGTCTCAAAGTGGCGCGACAATGGCAGAGGCCGGGCCGCGCCGCCCCGTGCGAGGAGATTGTCAGCCCCCCCGCCCCGCCCCGCCCCCGCCCGCCCCGCCCCGCCCCGCGCGGCTCCCCTGAGCCCGCCGCCTGCCGCCATGCATCCGAGGCCGAAACCCGCCCCGCCCCGGCGAGCAGAGGCCGTGGCAGAAACAGGCCTGGGCCGAAATGCGAATCCATTCCCGCCGGAACAAAAACAAAACGCGCGGACAGATTTATGCCGGCCTCTGCCCGCCCCGCCCGGCCTGGCCGCCAGGCAGGGCCGCCAGGCACGGCCTCGACCGCCAGGCCGCCAAGCACCGCTTCCGGCTTCCTTTCCCTCGGCAGGGCCGCCGAGCCTCGCCAGCCTCGCCGCCAAGCAGGCGGCGCGCCGGCGGCGCCGAGTGGGCAAATGAGCGGCGAGGCCGCGGGCCAGCACACTGATTCCGAGAGTCGTCTTCGTCGCTCTGTCTCTCTCGCACTTATACGGCACGCTGCATAGGTGCGAGAGGGACAGAGCGACGAAGAAGACTCTTGGAATCAGTCTGCTGCCAGCCGGGGATTCCGATGAAGACGCCTTAATGCCGTGCAGCTCCACGGCCTCTCAGCGCCTCTCGGCCCCGCGCCGACAACGACACGCGGTGGCTCCGGCGCGCTGGAGCCGGCTGGAGCCCCTCCAGGGACGCCGTCGTGTTTTGGCACCGCCGGGGCCGAGCGAGGCCCGGGGGAAAGTTATGCGAGCCACACGGAATAACTTTACGTCAAACCCTGTCCGGTCGCGTCCCGGTGCGTCCCGGCGGCAGCGTCGCAGCGACGCGGCGTCTGCGGCGTCCGCGGCCCGGGGATGGGATGGGATGGGAGGGTGCCGAAAGTGGAGAGGCAGAGGCAAAGGCGTGCCACGACGCCGGCGAACAAAGCGTTTTTGGCTGCAGTCGGCGACTTTTTTTTTCTCTTCTTGGTTTCTTGAAGTGCGGCTCTTTAGACGCCAACACGTCTCGTAAAATTTCTGTATCTGACTCCGGAACACTTTAAAACGCTTTAAAAACAAAATTTAACCATGCGTTTCCCTAAGATGTTGGCGAATAATACGAAACGGTTACTGGCATTCCCATTTTTTCTTTGCAAGAAGAAAGAGTGGTTTTCTTTTCCCCGCGAGTTGCGCTTTCTCCGGTTTTCTCTTTCACGCAACGCACTTACGGCGTGTATGACAAACGCATTCTTGTCGCCACATTGCCTCGTAGGGGACAGTCCCGGGCCTAGTGCTTTGGCACTTCTCTCGGTGTCTCTACGCCCCGCCCCGCCCCGCCCCGCCCCACCCCACCCCGGCACGCCCTGCCATACATCACGGGCCAGCGCCCCACAATCACGGCCTCTGTCTCTGTCTCTCTCACTCTCACGAAGCTCGCCATCCCCAGCCCCGCTGCCGGCCCCGCGCCGCAGACGACTTATGAGTCGGCTTTTGATGTCGTCTTCCCTGAATCTCCCTCGTTTCCTTGTGTAGCGACCGCGACGACGCCAAGAAAAAGGTCGAAAACTATCCCGCGCTGAATGAATCAGGAGGGATTATTTTTTTTTGAAGTGCTCGTTGGCTTGGACGGAAATATCACCTCTTCGTTTAGCTGTGCCTTTGGTTGAGACTCTCCCTCCACGGCCGGCCATCCTACACTGGTAAAACTAAGGCGTACTATCACGCCCTTCGTGAAGCGTACAGCCAGTACGCCCTTCTTCAAGCGTACAAGAGTTCATGCTCTCCTATCTTCCTATCTAAATGCATGGGGGAATTGCCTTGAAGCGTAGTCGTACGCTTCAAGAAGGGCGTACAGTCTTGAAGCGTAGTTGTGCGCTTGAATGAAGCGTACAACTACGCTTTAGTTTTACCAGTGTACCGCACCGCAGACCCCGCTCAGGAGTCTTGGAGTCCCCGAGTCTCCCTCCCTGACTGCCGCAATCCTACTTTGTATTTTGCAATGACAGTGCGTCTCTGAAAACGTCCTCCACTTTCAGGTTGGGGAAAATCCCTCCGATCGGCTCGGCTCTCCGCGGGGAACATCTACATACATATCCTCCCGGCTGGAGTTGGCAGCGCTCCGCCTCGGCCCCTCGGCCCCTGGGCCCCTGGCCCCCGCGCCCCGCCCGCTTTTCTTTATATTCTCTCACTTGGAAGACAAGGACCGAAGGGGCGGAGGGTGGAGGGCCGAAATAGATTTACTTTGCGCGCCCTGCGGGCTGATTCCGAACGGTGTTCCGTCTCGCTCGCACTCGTGGGGCGCCCCGCAGGGGTGCGAGAGAGACAGCGCGACCGCTCGGATATCGGACCTGCTGCCGCCGCGCCCCGCCGCCCCGCCGCGCCCCGCCGCGCCCGCGCCCCGCCGCGCCCCGCCGCGCCCCGCCGCGCCCCGCCGCGCCCCGCCGCGCCCGCCGCGCCGCGGACCCCGCCGCGCCGCCCGCCCGCCCTTCCCCGGCGCCCCGCGCCCTTCCGCACCACGGCCTATCATATAACACGCAGGGCCCGGCGGCCACAACGCAGCGGCGAAGTTGTCGAGGAGTGTGACAGGGAGCTGGAAGGCGGCCGCGAGGCCGGCCGCCAGACCCATTCCGAGAGTCGCTTTCGTCGCTCTGTCTCTCTCGCACCTATACGGGACGCGCCACGGGTGCGAGAGAGACAGAGCGACGAGGCAGTCTGCGCGGCAGGGCCAAGGACAAGGCACTGCACGCCGCCACGCCGCCGCGCCGCCTTGGAGGCCCTGGAGGCGATAGCTCGGACGGCTGGCAATGTATTGGTGCGGTGGCTGCACCCGACCAATCCCCTCCCGCCTGGACTTCCCTGAGTGATGTTATGGGCGTGCCGCGGTTGGCATGGCGACGCACGGGCCGACCCGCGGCGTGACGAATGCCGCGCGGAGCGGCGGCGGGAAGACGAATGAAGAAGGAAAACAAACCAAGCGGCGGCGGCAGAGAGGGGGGTGGGGGGGAGGCGACGCCCCGGGCCGGAACCCTGCCGAACCCTCAAGTAGTTGGCATTCAAAGCGGAAGCGGAACAGAGAGGCGCGCTCGGATGGCGCTGGACGCCTGGATCGCCTCGATCAGGAACGGTGCACCGCAGCGCCCGCAGCGCCACCGAGAGCAAGCCAAACAAACCCAAAGTTGTTGCTCTTTTTTCCCTGCTCGTTTTGTATCGGTGCGTCGAAGTTTTGAAGTGGAAGTTTGACTGTTGCAGGACAACCGGATGCTGCTGCTGCCCTGGATGGTCGTGGTGACCGTGACCGGCGTGGTGGACGTGACGCACATCACGCACGTCCTCATCACCGAGGTGGGTGTGTTTCCTGTTTTTGTTTTCGTTTTTGGACTGCCCGGCGCTACTCCCTTCCCTTCCCGCTGCTCCCTCGGGAGCTGCGCTGCCCACCACAACAAGATTATTCCCGACAAGGGTTAGTCTCGTTCCCGCCTTTAGGGACGCGCGGAGACGTCAGCAGAGGTCAAACATGCTAAGAATGCACCACACTTTTCTGTGAATTTCATTATTTATACCCTGCCCTAACGTTCGTCCCAACTCCCCTATAACTTCGCGTGCCGCATCACCAAATGACGGGTGGAATCAAAATTTGGTTGCATGTGTCGTACTTTCTTTCTTTCAGCTTCTATTCCCTTTTCGGTGTTTCTGTTTCAGGCAAACTTCAAACCCGAAGTCGCCATGCTCTTCACAGTTGACTTTTTCCTGCTCAGCCTAAATGTAAGTTATCTCTCTTTTTTTTTCAGCTTAAAAAGGGGAAAAGGAGAATGAATTTGATGTGTTTGTGTTGCGGACAGCTCGACCCTTGTCACGGGGAAAGTAGTTTGAGGACACTTTGCCTCAAAGCGACTTGCGCGAGAGGCGCCATATTTTACCAGGCGTTGTTGGAGGCCAGCTGATGCCCCACCCCCTTTCTCTTCACATGTCCTTGCAACGCCGTTCTGAACACAAGCGCCCCTTATATGCCATCCCCCCCCCAAAAAAAAAGAAACATGCCATCATATTGGTATTCTTAGTGGAGTTGCGGGAAGGGGTTGTTAATTTATTCTTGACGTGTGTTGCATGTTTGCGCTGCGCGTGCGGCAGGTGTACTCCCTGCTGTGCGTGGTGTCGCAGTACCAGGAGTACAAGGCCGGCAGAGGGCGGGCCGTGGACGACGACAACCTCCTGAGGGTACGCCGCTTCGCCGCTTCGCCGACCGGAGGCAACCATACGTTAAAAATAGACAGAGGTAAAAATGTTTGCCCCTTTGCAGTTCGCCCCCGTGCGGTACCTGGCGCAGCCCACCGCCACGAGTGGGCTGAGCACGCGGCGCGGCACGCACACCACGGTGCACGACGCGCACAGCCCGTCCGGCGACGCGCGTGACGCCAACGGCGCCAACGGCGCCCTGGACGCCGCCCCCTTCAGCGCCAACGGCGGCCACGGCGTGGACAACGGCGGCACGGCTGTGCGCCTGGTGGTGCCGCCGCCGCCGTACTCCAGGAGGCCGCCGGGCTCGGGCAGCTCGGGCATCCCGACGACGCAGGGCAGCACCCGGAAGCACGTGCAGTTCCCCGACATGTCCAACGCCAGGGTGGTCCTGGACGAGGACTCCAGCCAGGGGGACTCGCCCGGTGAGTGGGCTGAACGGTGCTTCGCTCTGTCTCTCTCGCACCCATTCGGACTGCCGGCCAGTGCCGGCCGTCGTAGACAGACAGTGCTCCGAAAAGGCACGATTCGGAACCAGACTGCTGTTTGCACGACGCCGAGACGCCGAGGCCGAGACTCGGGTGCGGTGATGCGGCGTGTCGGCCAGCGCCTCTCACCTCACACTGGGCCCTCTCTCTCACTCTCCCGCGCGGGGTAGCGCCACGGCGCGGGGCGCGGAGCATTGCCGCCCAGAGTCTCGCGGGCGTGGAGTGTGGCGGGCGGGAGAGTCGCTGGGAGAGGGAGAGGCTCTCCCGGGCTGCTTGCAGCTCGCTCCCGACACGAAAGCAAACGCCGCGAAATGCGTGAGGTGTCTGACGTGGTTGCGTTGTTGCAGGCACCGGAGTCGAGGACGGCAGCGCGGGACTGGAGTGGCCCATCCCGCAGGACGAGAAGGCCCTGCTCAGCTACCACTGAGAGGAAAAAAACACTTGGACTTTTGTTTGATGGCTAGTGAGGGTCATACCCATGCAATTATAAGTGAATGGCATCAGGGTGATGCGAGAAGAATTCACCCAAACTGATTTCTTAAATCAAGAACGTTATCATCAGAGCACAGCATTGTGCATTGATGGGACAAACATGTTCAGGGTGAAGTGCTGGCCGCGTGCTTTGGGTGGAAAGTGTGTAGTGTCTCGCGTTGCGTTGTTGGACAGCTAGTGACACAATTACATTGATAAATGTATAAACAAATTATAGAAATAAATTAGATGTTACAAATTTATGCTAAGGTGGTGTGCAACATGGGAACACCAATGTCGTCTGTGATGTCTGTGGGAGAGCGGTTCGGGGAACACTGAGCTTGGAGCTGCATGAGCCCATGTTGTTGGCAATGCTGTTGGATTGTACCTGTTATAATAATAAATAATAACCCAACATAAAGGATTGTCTTCCGAAACGAACCCTAGATTCTCCACGACCGACCGACGGGTCGGTCGATCGCAGACGGTCGGCCGGACGGTCGATCGTAGAGAGCTCAAACAAGCGAACACTGCCTGTCCGAACGACCGAAAACGAAGGCTTCTGCCGAGCTCGGCTCGCCCGACTCGGTTGTGCGTCGAGCCGGGCGAGCCGGACTGCGGCTGGCTCGGTGGCTCGGTCACCGAAGCAACCCGAAGAACTACCGACGGATCGCTCGGAGCCGAACGATAGCTACTAGAGGGCAGCACCTGTCGGGAAGGTTGGCGACAGACACTAGGCGAGGGGGTGAGGTGGGGGATTCTGTTGGCCAGCTTCCGAAAAAGGCGGGTGTCGAACCGGAAGCAGAGGTTTCAACGAGCGAGCGTCGACGATTTCGGGTATCTTCGGAAGCCGAAAAGTGCTTCGGCTCGTAACATATCCGAACAGCCGTGTGCGCTCATTTGAGCTCTCTAGTCGATCGGCAACGCTGTGGAGGCTTATGTGTCTCGGTGGCTCCAAGCGCAGAGGCAGCGGCCGCCTCGAATGAGGACTTGGATTCGAATCCCATTGACAAACTTATTTTCTTTAGCTGGCCTGGGTTCGGCTCCCAGGAGTGAATCGTTTCCTAAGTTTACTTCTTACATCCGGTACCATCACTATAAGATTGATCGCGTTGCATCTCAGTGGCTGGTTGGCTGATATGGTAGAGTTGTCAGCTGGCGGGAGGAAGTCCTGGGTTCGACTCCCAGGTGGGTGAATCTTTTTCCTCAGGTTACTTCTCAAATCCGGTACCATCACTCTAAGATAGATCGCGTTGCTTCTCAGTGGCTGGATGGTCGATATGGTAGAGGTGTCGGCCGGTGGGAGGAAGAACTGGGTTCGATTCCCAGTTGAGTGAATCTTTTCCTCAGTTTACTTCTCAACCCCGGTACCATCACTCTAAGATAGGACGTGTCGGACAGGTGTGTTGTCGTAGCTCAGGTGGCAGAGCGATGGGCCGTGGAGGCTGGTTGGAGGCCATGCGGCAGCACATGTTTCCCGTTGGACCTGGTTCGCTACCAGCCAGGTCAGGTTACTAACCCTTTATGATTGCCCCTACTCCCCTCTCCTTCTGGGAGGGGGGGTAGGGGGGGTGGGAGCCGACGGCGGGAACTCTTTTGCATAGAGGTGATATACAGAGAAGCAGCGCCACCAAGATAGACCACCCATTTGCCACGCTGACGGAGGCTGACGGCAGGAACTCTGTTTAACAGCCAAGATTGTTTGGAAGATATCTGGCCTTTAATTCAGTGTATGAGCCGCGCCGTCAAGGTAGGCCACCCATCTGACACGCTGCTGCAAAAGCAGCACCGCGGCGGAAAACATAAGCCATACTCTTAGCCGGGATTTGAACCCGAGTGCTTCTCTCTACGACCGACACCTCAGCCCCCTGAGCCACCGAGGCTCTCCTTAATGTGATCCAGTCTGAACTTGGGCTAATAGACGACTTGAGCTAGGCGAAAGAAGAGGAAGAAAATACCTTCCCGAACATGGCGGCCGGCCCCTCATTGGTCCTAGCAGCCGACGGCGGCCGTCCGCCATGTTCGGGAAGGTGTTTTCTTCCTCTTCTTTCGCCTAGCTCAAGTCGTCTATTGTACCGCATTCATGCAGTCAACTGAGAAAAATATTTCGGTACCCGGGATTCGAATCAAAGTCTCTCAGCGCGAACACCTCCTCTGCGCTCCCAGCCACCGAGACGATGAAAATTCGCTCGCCAATCTTGGAAGTAATGGTAAGTTACCGGATTCGAGGTTCAACAGAGGAAAACATTTCTATACCTGGGATTTGAACCGAACTCCTGCGCCACCAAATCACCCGGTGTGTCTCCGCCCAAACTCAGACCCATGGTTACCTGATTCTTCGGGTTCGTGAAGTGAGGTGAACTGAGAGTTTGGGAAACAAACTCATGAAAAGATTTGGGCGACACTCTTGCCGACCAAGCCACCGATTAGTGATGTTCCATGTGACCGTTCGACCGACCGTGTGCGACGGACCGACCCGTTGTGGGATCACCTTTAGAGGGATCAGTGAATAAGACAAGATAATATTCAATAAATTTATCACTTTATTTACAAATCTCTTCATCGGTATCACAATATAGAAGTCATTCCTTGAGAGTAACAACTGTTAAAAGACTTTTCTCGAGGAGGAAAAACTTCTGTCTTAGTTTATTTAATTAACATTTGTACAAAAGGATTTAAGATGGCATTGACAGCCATACTGCTAGACATGACTTGCAGAGTAGCAAGCCTGTTCTCTTTTGGACAGTTGGTAAGCAGTCCATAAAATAAATTTATTATTTAGACAGAAAAATAATTTATATGAAAATACTTTGTAACAGAGTCTTGCAAACAAACATCAGTGATATACATTGGTTGAAAAAACAATCAAATGCAAAACAAAAATGAATTCTTTCAGATAACGGAAAGCCATGTTCTGGAACAGCTATGATTAGATTGGAACACTGCCTTCACTGCAGCAGCATATAACAATAGCAAGCAATCAACAACAATACTGTACATTTATGATTATTACACATGTCTACTGCAATGTTAGATGTTTTCCTGGACGGATTAATAAATTTATGTGGACTATCACTGACAATCAGTGGCAAGTAAAAGAGCAGTAGAGACAAGCAATACGACTAGGTATGCATAGACCAAAAGAGTCTACTTCTTTTGGAATTTTTCTACATTTTACCTATATTTGAGATGCTAATGACACATGATTTTCACATCAGGTATACAGTAAAATCTTATGAAGACATTGATTATCCCTTAAGTGATTTTTGAGTCTCGTCAAAGTTCATTCCTCTTTCTTGATAGAAACTACAAACTGATTGGATTTGTCTATGACAAACTGAGCCTGGCCCTTAGCTTTTTTAAAACTTTCAGTCATCTTCAAAACAAGTGGCTCTAAAACCAATATAATATTGAGGCAAATAATCACTGGACAGTCAGTTCTTACAATAAGTAAGTAAACAATAGGTTCACCAAAAACATCAAATAACAACAATTAGTTTGATTTTTTAACAGGTAGGAAGAGAGACATGGCATTTGCTTTCATTAAAAATTCACTTCCATCAGGAAGTAAAATTAAGAACCTTAATAGAAGCAATTATTTTTACACACCATTTGCATCTCAAATATATAACATCACATTTTTCTTTTGTATAATCATAAATCAAGGCCAATGGCCTGAGAGTTGTGTGTTCTGATTGTTGGACTGATTTCAGTTCATAATAATTTTAAAATTGCTAAGAAATTGAGTAAACATTATACAATGTAGGTGTGTACATTTTTTCATAAATTGAAACATTTATTTTAATACCTTAAAAATCCTAAGTCAGAACACAAAACTCCTCTATCACGAAAATTCGTTGCCATCATTTGTTGATTCTCTCCTCAAAATCAGTACCACTGGTTGTAACAAATATCAGAACTGTCCTGTGCTGATGACATGTTTTTAACGTATACAAAATTGAAAAGCACGCATGTGATAAGAATTTGCCTTATATGAGGCTGTAATACATACAGAAATGCTTAAAAAATTAAGGAAAGTTCAATGGCACATTGTATCTAGTGTAAATAGAAATTATCAGTTTTAGGATGTTAGAGAGAGGACTTAGCACAATCATCTAAGCACAAGATAGTCATGCCTGTGTTATGAAGCTTCTGCAGTCTTTAAATACTATGGACAGGTAAAGTAGGTAAAGCACAGTTCAGATTTCAAGAATAACAACCACTAAGCTGAAGCAAGGACAAACATAATCGGAGTTGACTACAAAAGGTTTTCACGCAGAGCGGCAAGCTGCTCCACACCAAGAGAGATCTTGTCAGCCAGTTCTCTTGCATCCACAATAAGTTTAGCTTTCATACTGATAAAATGTTGGTAATCATCAAGGTCTGATGGGCTAAGACATGATAAAAGTGACTTCAGGACACTTTCACTCCTTTGATCGATGCTGGCCTTCAATTGCTTGGCCTCCATCAACTGAGATAACAACTTATCACGTTTGCTTTCCAGGGATACCTGATGAAAAAGAAAATGAATATTAAAAAATTGTCTTCTACCAAGGAATTGTAAGAAAAAAGTGGCAACACTCACTCTCTCATGATGATGTAATGGAAGTGCAAGCAGAGCATTCTCAGCTCTTGCTAATCGCCCTGAGAGCCCAAGAAGTAAAGATGTAATGTGGCCAACTTCAGAGATATGTAAACGCAACTTAGAGGATTGTCCAGGTCGCGCTACTTTCCCTACTCTGGCACACACTGCTTCGCCCAACTCTTCATTCAGTCTACGTTCCTCACTTAGAGCATCTTGCTCTTCACGAAGAATAGCTAACTTTCTTGACAGGCGAGCTACCAGCTCCTCCTGTAAAATTAGACAACAATTTAGGACCCCCAAATCTCAACATTCTTAAATGATATTAATAACAAATAAACAAAATTTGGAAATAAGATAAGTACAAGCATGATGTCTAATTACCTTCTTCTGGTTCAGTTCTGCACCACTGAGATCAACTGCAGAGGAATTGTCTTGACTAAGCCTAGTGAGAAGACGAGCTTTTGACTCAGATGTTGCAAAGTATGGAGAGCTAGCTGGTAATGCCTCCCTAAAAGCAATAAACATAGTATTAACAAGGATTTAAAATGAAAAATTAGACGTTCATTGAAAGACAAAATATTAACTTACATGCCGCTGGGTGTTCCTGCTAAGCGACTAGTGGGAGTGGGAGAGGATGGGGTGACACAGCCATTGCTTGAGGAAACCTCTAGTGAGGATCGACTTGAATTCAAACTAGAGGTTGATGTATTATTTGCATAAGAATCTCTCTTTGCTGGGGTAGGTGGACTTGGTTCCATTTTGACAGGCGTACTTGAGCTGACACTCTCAACAGAAACAGGTTGCGCTATCACTGAACTACAAGTTGATGATGGAGGGGATGTGGATGTTGAGGTTGACTTGGAACACATTTTCCTCGGACGGACACTCAGGTTGAAGAGCCCGGATACATAATCTGCTGGCTTCTTGTACTCTGGCGCAGGAGCTGCAAAAAGAAACAAAAACGAAACAGGAATAATTTGTGAGTGCTTCATGGAACAAGCCGTGGCGGCCAATGTAAGCGGTGAGCAGTAAACGCGACCCACCTAAAAGTTCCTGCAGACGGTCGTTTCCGTGCAGGCGACTGGCCAAGTCCCTGGACAGCTTCTCCACCTCCATCTCCTCGTGCATCCACTGCCGCTGGCCGGGCTTGGGAGACGGGGGTGGCGATGGCGGCGGCGAGGGGGGCGGGGATGGGGGCGGCGAGGGTGGCGGCGAGGGCGGCGGCGTCTGCAGCAGGTCGGTCTGCGAGGACGCGTCACTCGTCCTGGACATGCGGCACGACGTCGGCGTCGAGGTTACCACCTCAGCGGGGGCGGCCACGACGTGGTGGAAGACGTTGGCCACCGCCTCGCTGGGGGCGGGGGCGGCGGGGGCAGCGGGGGCCGCTAGGCGGGCCGGCAGTGTCGGTGAGCCACCCTGACCCGCAAGCCGATGCAGCGGGGCGCCGGCGCCAGGACTGGGGCTCGGGGTCGGGATGGGCGGAGAGGGTGATGTGGTGGCCGGAGACTGCGAGGGGGACAGGTTCATGGACGTGGGCGTGGACAGCGAGAGCCTGTCCGAGCTGCAGCACGAGTCCGTGTCGCTAGCCGCCGACATCGGGGAGGGCGTTGGGGACGCTGTCGACGAGGGCGACGTCGGCACGATTGGCACCGCCATGGCCGGCACTGCCGTGTGGGTGTGGTGGTTGTGCTGGTGGTGAAGGTTGTTGTTGTTGTTGTTGAGGGTGGGGCTGGGCGCGGCACCCAGTGGCTTGGCCAGCCGGTCGTCCTCGGGGGATAGCCTCTGACGTTCCACTGAAACAGCACATTCCAAAATTAAACCTCTGCCTCTCCCATGTTTTTAATTGACCGTTTTCTCTCTACTCACCAATGGCGGGCTTTTGCGGCGACACGACCAGCACGATGTCTCTGTCCTCCTGGAGGGCCTGGAGGGCCTGCAGCGACTGCAGGCGCCCCATTTGGGGTCGCGGCGGGGCCTGCGGCACCGCAGTGCTGTGGTTGGTCATGGTGCTGCCGGTGGAGACATGGCCGACGTGGCCCGCGGGGACCAGGCCCGCGGGCTGCGTCTGCTTGTAGCTGCCCTCGAAGCTGGGCAGCGTCGCCTCGCGCTCGCGCTCCTTGCGGTCCTTGCGCAGCGACAGGTCCAGGTACGACGCCTTGGAGGTGCTCCTGCGACGCGGAAACAAAGAAAAGACACTGTTTAGAAAAGCAGGACGACAAAAGCGCGCGGTACATTTCGTTCCAGACCGATCTTCCGGTTTCGGCCCCGCAAAAACCGGTACCGATCCCATGCCGACGATTTTCTACTTTTGTGCTGGCTGCTGGTCCAAGGTGGTCCCGCCCCCACGCGTCCGGCGGCGACAGACTCCGCAGGCAGCCTGTGACCCTGCCCGACCTGGCCAGGCCAGCACAGGGCCAGCACCCGCAGGCCGGCGGGCCGCGCGGCCACCGCGGGGGCGGTGGGGGCGGTGGGGGCAGGTCGAGGACGCCTGGACGCCGCCCCGCCCCGCCAAGACCACTAGCGGGCCTGAACCACCTCCCCCTCCCCCAAGCCTACCTTGGGCCTACCGCACAACGAGTCCTAAACAAGCCATGCCGCGGCACACTCATCTAGCCCGCTAGCCCGCTACAGCGCTGCGGCGACGCAGATACAAATCACCGCGGTCCTTTATTCCAGCCTCTGGCTGCCTCTAGCGCCTGGCAGGTAGGCAGCACGCCCAAGGCAGGCGGGCCTTAGGCGGGCCTTAGGCGGGCCTTAGGCGGGCCTTAGGCGGGCCTTAGGCGGGCCTTAGGCGGGCCTTAGGCGGGCCTTAGGCGGGCCTTAGGCGGGCCTTAGGCGGGCCTTAGGCGGGCCTTAGGCGGGCCTTAGGCGGGCCTTAGGCGGGCCTTAGGCGGGCCTTAGGCGGGCCTTAGGCGGGCCTTAGGCGGGCCTTAGGCGGGCCTTAGGCGGGCCTTAGGCGGGCCTTAGGCGGGCCTTAGGCGGGCCTTAGGCGGGCCTTAGGCGGGCCTTAGGCGGGCCTTAGGCGGGCCGGGGGCAAGGTTGGCCAGCCTCGCCTCTCCTTGGCGTGCAGCGCGCACGCTGCGTTACACCGTGGTAACGGGCGGCGCGCCACGGCCTGGCATCTCCGGAGCCATCCCCGTTACTCTCGCCTGTTGCTCACTGTACAGGAAGGAGACGCCTTTGTCAGTGTCGCAGTGCCGCGTCACGCCCCGGGCTGTACACTGTACTCCGTACTCGTGGCTCGCCAGCCTCGGCGAGGGATCGCCACGATAAGGCTGGACCCCGCAGGGCCCGCCCCCCTTTCGCCTCCCCGCGCTGCACGGCAGCACGGCAGTCCGCGCGGGAAAACCAAACACGTTTCCCGGGTCGGCGGAGACAGCCTGGACAACCTGGACGACCACGCGGCAGCGGCAGCACGGCACGGGACGGGCCTCCAGCGTCCAGAAGAAAGTCAAAAGAAACACGGCGAGGGAGCGGAGCGCGGACCGGGCTGAGTATGGTCAGTGCCTGCTGCATGTCCAGCCAGGCTGCCGGTCTGGCCTGCAGACTTGTTCTCTCTCTCTCTCACACACACTGACGGGGCGTGCCGTAAGGGTGCGAGAGAGACAGGCCGATGGGACCTCCCTCTCGGAGTCGCGGCGCCAATCCCGTTCCAGACTGTCCCGACGGGACCCGCGCGGCGCCGGGCCTGGCCGCGCCGTGACGCAACCAACCCGTCCTTTCCGCTGGGCCGCGCGACGCCGCGAAGCCGCGACGTGCGCGTGGCGGACGAAACGAGGCACTAGACGGCCACCAAACGGAAGCGGTATCTAGCGGGGCCCGCGCGTAAAAGCTGAGGCAGTCCATCGGAAGACCATGACGCGGGTCTCTAGGGCCACCTAAAGAGCCTCCAGGGTCGGCCCGGCGAAAGCGCCACCGCAGCACTCTGTCTCTCTCGCACTCATGGGGCGTCGTGTGCGAGAGGAACAGAGACAGGGCGACGAAACGCTGCGCCCGCTGTGCGGATTCGGAAGAGAAGGTACACGGCCGCAGACGCAGTCGCCACATTTTCGGGACTGTACCTGGTGCACACATCGACCCCCACGGGCACGCGCGGTCGGGCAGCCGCACTCTCCACTCGGGCCCAACGCGCGGGGCTCTGGCGGCCGCACTCTCGCACTCGTGTGCCAAGACTTGAGGTCACGGCGCTCCGCCCGCTCCGCCCTCCGACAGCCCGCCGGGCCGGCCGGCCGGACCCGCGGCCCGGCCAGGCGGTCAGGCCCTTCGGCCCTTCGGGCTTCGCGGCCGTGCGATGCGCCGCATGGCGGCGCCCAGCGTCGTCGTGGGGAGAGAGGGAGGAGGTGTCGTCAAAACAAGGGATGGCACAGCCCGGAAACTAGGTTCCGGGTAAAAAACAGACGAGCAACACAAAAACCCGGGGGAAAACAACCGCGGCCAGGCGAGCTACGTCGTACTACTCAAACAAGCCTGTCGCGCTGGCACAAGGCCGTCTCTGTGGACCTCTTGTACACACACTACCTGGAAAGGGGTGGATAGAAGGCCCCCCCCCCCCCCCACACACACACACAGGCGGCCACAGACAACTGCGCGGCGCCGTGTACCTATCGCGCGATACCATATTTCTCCTGCAGCTAATTGAAATGGATGGGGCGTCGGCTACCGGTTGCGGCACTGCAGGTCTGCAGCACGGCGGCACCCACGCTCGGCCCGACAGGCCGACAGCCCTGCTCCGCCCTGCTCTGCTCTCATCTGACCGCCGCGCCGCCGCGCCATATGCTGCCGCTAGTCTGGCGGTGCGCGGCGCGGCGCTCGGCCCTAGGTACGTACTGTACGGCTTGCCGGCCGGCCGGCCTGGCCGTACGGGACGCATAAGGGTTTCCAGGTCACCGCCACACTCCTTGACGACAGGCCGGCGGCACAGCTGCCAGTCAACCGGCCGACGGCGCGGTGGTGCGCGGCCGCGATGCCGTTCGTCGCGCACCCCGAGCAGGCCGCCCGCCCTGCTGGATGGACCTCGCGAGTCGACGCGAGAGCGAGAGAGACAGTCCCAGGACCCACCAGTCCGAGGGCCGCGCCGCGCCGCCGCCGTTTCGCCGGTGGCGGTCATTACGACGGCCTGCTAATAGTCAGTCAGTCCAGTCGGCGGGTCCGCGCTGGACTACCGTGACGCAATATCGGGGCGGCCCTCGGGGCGGCCCTCGGGGCACGGCACCGGTACCAGCACCCCGCCACTGGAAGGCAGCGGCAGAGGCGCTTCCGTCCGATAGACAATGTGCGCAGGAAAGCGTGGCGTGGCGTGGCGTGGCGTGGCGTGCCGTGGCGTGGCGTGGGCGCGGCGGCGCGACTTGGTGACTCGGTCACGTCCGACCAGGCCAACTATACGCCGCCAGGCCGCCAGCCCCAACGACCCGCATAACGACGCCGTCCTGCCGTCCTCGGCGGCGTGCCGCGCGGTGCCGCGTCGCGCGCCGCGTCGTGCCGCACGCCCTCCAAACGCCGCCGTTTCATTTCGCCACCGCGTCAATCCAATCAAAGGCCGCCTAATGGTCCCAACGGCTGCTAGCCGTGCTAGCGGCGCGGTGGCGAAGTCATCGACGCGGTGGTCTGGCCGCGGCGCGGCGGTGGCGCGACCTCCACGTCGGCCAAATGCGAAAAGGAAAACGGTACGTATCCACCGGGCCGGCGGGGTACGCGGCACCGGCACGCGGCCGCCAACGCACAGGATATGCCGTGACACGGTACGCCGGGCCACGCGGAGCACGCCAAGCAGCACTAGCCCCCCCCCCCCCCCCACCGGCCGTTGGCAGGGGCCTCCGGGCCTACGCGCACAAAGGGGCTCGGCAAAAACGGCGACGTTGCACTAGGTGTCTCAGTCAAGAGTCAAGATGTCGAGACAGTGGCAAGCGAGCGCTGCAGGTCCGGGCCGGACTGGCCCTGGCGGAGAGTGGCAGGCAGTCCGGGGCAGGATGCGTGCGGCGTGGCACAGCCTGCGTAAACACGCTTATCGGGCCTCTAATCGCAACGAGAACGAGAACCCCTCCTAATGTCAAAGCCATCCGCCCCGTCCCCGTCGCCGGCACTGCAAGCGGGTGGAGCCGCGCTGCTGCGCCATGCTGCGCCATGCTGCGCGCGGCCGGCAAGGGCAGCGCACTGCAAAATGCCGAACGGTGCCCCGTGGCGCCGTCTCTCTCGCGCTCACGGCGCGGCCGAGCGAGAGAGTATGACAGAGCACCGTTCGGAATCAGCCGCTCCACTGCGCGCTGCGCCTCGAGTTGCGTGGCATTACGCCGAGTGCAATTGCCCGTCCAGCTGCAGGGCTGCTGCCGCCAGCCGTCTGATTCCGAGCACTGCTTCGTCGCTGTCTCTCTCGCACCCCTACGGACCGCCCCGTGAGTGCGAGAGAGACAGAGCGACGAAAGCAGTGCTCGGAATCAGACGGCAGGCTGCCGCTGGACCGGACCGGACTCCACGCTCATCTACAATTCTCGGCGCCGCTCGCTCCCCGTTCGTTCGTTCGTTCTCGTTCGCTCCTCGGTCGGTTCGCGGAGCGCAGCAACGCGGAGCCCACATTCTTTTCCACGTTGCGGCGGGCGCTGGCGCCAGCCCTGACCCCGCCCCGCCCCGCCCCGCCGAGACTCATCCGCCGCAATGCAATCCAGGAATTAATTGCGCCAGTAACAAGCTCGCTGCACGGCGACTTGGCGACGCGGCCGCGTCGCGACGGCCAGATTCATAATCCCGTCGTGTCGCTGCGTCGTCAGATCGTCGTCACGTTTGACACGCGTCACGCGACGCGACGCGGCACGTCCAGCAGACGGGTGACTCACACGACGCCACACGGCCACGCGAGTCGCTGAATACCGATAAACTCTGCCAGCGACACGCTGGGACACGCTGCTGCCCGCTCATTCCAAACAGCGCCTTCGCCGCTCTGTCTCTCTCGCACTCACGGCGTGTCCCGAAGAGGTGCGCGAGACAGAGCGACGAAGCGCTGCTGCTCGTAATCAGCCGTCTGATTCCGAACACTGCTTTGTCGCTCTGTCTCTCTCGCACCCCTACGGACCGCCCCATGAGTGCGAGAGAGACAGAGCGACGAAAGCAGTGCTCGGAATCAGACGGCAGCCAGCCGGCCTGCCTCTTTCTCCATACCAGCAGACTAAGCTTTTCT